CTGAAAAAGATGCATCTTAGCTCAGAAAATTGTTATTGAATATGTCAATGCTGTTGAAATGGAATGCTTCTTCTAAGCATGTGGTTATTAAATAAATTTAAAATCTAAATTTTAAAAAGGTCACATAATTTTAACATTTTTAAAAATTACAATAAAGGGCCTCGAGAGATGGCTCAGCGGATAAGATCACTGACTGCTCTTGCAGAGGACCTGGGTTCAATTCCCAGCACCCACATGGCAGCTACGAATTATCCTTAACTCCAGTTCCAGGGGAGTCTGAAGCCCTCTTCTGACCTCCACAGCATTGCATGACATGGGTGTGCTCACATACATGCAGGCAATACACTTGTACACATAAAATAAAAATAAATATAGTATTTAAAAAATTACAATAAAAAATAGAAAAACAAATGTAAAACCTTTAAATACTGTATTTAATTCAATATACTCATAGTATTAATTCAACATGTAGTCAAGCTTTTTATTGAGATACTTTACAGTTTTCTTTATGATAAATCTTCAAAATACCATGTGTATTTTACAATAGAGCATATCAGCCCATGTCTGCTAGGATGACCCGTTTCAACAGGTGGCTGTCCAGTGGCTATACTAAATTGAACAGTTTAGCCCTAGGCCATGAAAGTCAAGAGAGTAATGTAAACCTAAAATAACAATAAATATTCTCAGATACTTAATAAATGACCACCCTAAAGACCCCCAATGACTGCATGAATTTTTTCGCTAGTAATCCTTCACATGCTTAAGCAAGATCTTTTGAACAGAATACATTAGTATGATGCATCCTTTTAATAACTAAGAGTCAGAGATATAATAATTTATAGCTGTAATGGAGATTATATAGAGAAAATCATTTTTTCAGAATAACAAGATCTTGTTTCATATAATATACTTTAAAATAGTAATTAGTTGTGCCCTTCATGGAATTTGTGTTTGGCAAATAATTTACAAGAGAAGAGACAGAAACATAGAGAGGAAAAGAACGCATGCTTATGTTATTAGAAACACCTGAAACATGAAAAATTGTTTTCATTTACTCTTCTTGTTAATCTTTTAATATAGACACTAATGTCTTGACTCTAAGGAGCACAATACTTAATTCCAGACTGTTTTACTTTAATTGACATGGCAAATGTCATAGCTCTAATAAAAAAAATTCTGTGAAGTCCATGTTATATCCACAACATCACTCTACCTCCTATATACAGTGGTACCCACCTAGATATGGAGCATCAATTAGACCTCCAGGAAGCCTGTTGAGATGGCAAGATGAAACCAGCTCTGAATATATAGATTATTCTTTATTTTCATTGATGGTGACCATTCTACAGAATAATGTTCTAACTTGGTGCATTAAAAATAACAATGTTAGATATGCATGTCCCCTCTCAATGTTCATTTATACATACACAATACACATGAATATAAACATATGTGAACTCACATATTTCATATATGAATACACACATGTTCATATGCATTTACAAATACACAAATGCACATCTACATATATAATCCCACATCTGCATATAGACATACACAAACAATTTACTGTTACAAGATTTTACCAGATTAAGTTATGAAAGTAAAAGGCAATTAAGTCAATGTGTAAGCACATATTTATACCCATGGAAGTGTTTTGTGTGAGTCTGACTGGGTAAGCATGTATTTATACCCATGGAAGTGTTTTGTGTGGGTCTGACTGTATTCCTCTCTTTCTTTTTCAGTGATCACTGTTTAGGAAGTCACAAAATGTTTCAGAAAGATAAATCTGTTATTCAACTTCGTCTTCAGAAAAAGAGGGACTCTCCAGGAAAGTTATCCCGAAAGGTAATGGTTTCTGAGTATGCATTTCAATTAGCAAATTCATATATTTAAACACCATATTCCTATCTTGGCTTGCTGACATTTTGGACTTACTTTCCTTAATGGACAGGTATTTGAGCTATTAAAGCATGAGGAAATACTTTATCTAAAATATTTAGATTGATACAATAATACAAACATGTTACTGCAGTCTTATTGTGGTGGACTGAATGAGTGTCCTCTGTTCCCCAGAATCCAGATGCTGAAGGCTTCACCCTCAGGGCATAGTGTTAGGAGGTGTGGTCCACTGGGAGGCAGTTACCTTTAGATGAGAGCAAGAGATTGGGTTCTTATGATGAGTTCAATGTCCTTATGAAAAAAGATTAGCTATCTCTCACCCTCCCTCCCTCTCTGTCTCTCACCTCCACGGCAATGAAACAAGAAGGTATCTGTCTACAAAATATGTAGAGACCCCTCCCCTTGATCTTAAAATGCCTATCCTCCAGAACTATAAAAAGTAAATATCTATAGTATTAACGCAATCAGATTATGGTACCTTTCTTCTCTAGCAGCCCAAGCTAAAATACTCAGCACAATGGCAAGTTAATTAGTTTCTTAGGAATGTAGTGGAAAACTTATCGAGGTCATCATGTGCCTATTGAAGTCATCATGTGCATACCTCCACATATCTACTTAGAAATAAAGTGAAGTGGGCTGGAAAGATGGCTCAGTTGCTAAGAGCACCAGTTGTTCTTGCAAAAGACCTGAGTTCAAATCCCAGCACCCACATGGTGGCTAACAACCTTTTGCTACTCCAGTTCCAGGAGGATCTGATAACTTCTTTTGTCCTCCACAGGCACTTACACACATGCTGGCAAAACACTCATACACATAAAAAATAAATTTTTAAAAATTTAGAAAGAGAAAGAAAGCAAAGAGAAACTTTAAAGAGGGCCCACTAATAGCAGAAAAATAACACGTCTTGTATGAAGACTGTTTATGTCTATGTCAACCGAGCTTAAATCAGGACAGATTAATATTCATACCATATAGAATAATCTGCTGAGAAAGGGATTACTGTACTTTAATGATACAATTTCGTGCTGTTAGATGTGAATTTTATCCCTTGCGTGATGTCATGAGATACTCCCAACCCAAATTGCACAGTGTGCATGAACTTTGATATTTTGGCAGGTTTCATCTGCAGAATCTTCCAATTACCTGCTCTAAGTAAAATTCTTATCGCCCTGTCATTTCCATCAGATAACAGATTTCTAATGCATGATTCTTTTTTTCGCTAATATGAGGTGTTTCATCATAAAAAATGTCAGATGGTGCGTTAACTTGCACTATATCTATGGAGAATGTAACATAATGAGATCAAAAGTGGGTTATTTAGAAATATTCCATCTTGGGCCTTTTTGACAGTTCCAGGACAGTACTACTGAAATCTACACAAAGTAGCAGTATAAACTGTAACTATCATCTCAATATTAATAAATTTATGTTTCTTCAAATTGCCTTCAGTGGTGCAGAAAAGATGAAATCATGGTATTTCATTGCCCCAGGGGAAGAAGAGTAAACCTGGGGGCTCTAATTTGCATGTTAGTGTTGAAAATATGATTTTCTCATTTGTGTAAAAATTCACAAGTCATTACCATTTCAGTCTCATCGAAGGGAAGATGTGTAAAGACTGGTGAGGTGGCCAGTGGTTAAGACCATGAACTGTTTGTTGAGAGGACTCAAGTTTGGTTCCCAGCACCCATGTTAGGTGGCTCATAATCACCTGGAACTCCAGCTCCAGAGGACCTTGTGCCCTGTGCTGGCCTCCACAGACACATGCACTCATGTGCACATATCCAAATAAACACACAAATACATGCACATCATTTAAAACTAAAATGAAATATTTAAATTAAGGTATACCTCAAAGCCCATGTGACTCTCCTGCTCTGATATAATATGTATGGAGCATGTATTATTTGTCCGATACATCAACACTTCTACCACATTAAATCATCACAATTCTGCTAGCCAAACAGTACTGAATATAGGAATCAGAATCCCAGGGAGGCATCATAACATTCCCAAGATCTCAGTCATGGTACTGGTAAGGAGTGGCGCTGGATTAGAGCCCAGACATTGAAACTTCAGAGCCCTTACACAATGCTACCAATTTACATGGGAATCAGGCTTTGGTTTACACTCAATTCTTATAAGATTTGGATGTAAGTTTTAGGATATTGTATTTTCGTTCGTTCTATTTTGTTTTCTGAAGATCCTGAAGATCTATTCATATGCCTTATCATCTGGGACACCATAGAGACTTAATAAATAGCTGCATTATGTAGACATTAGATTGCAGTCCTTTAAATGATTAAATAGACCAGGTGATAAGTGCCATCATCTTCCTATCATCTATAATTAAAAGTGCTGCATAGTTAAGAGATTAAATAAGTGTTCAAAGTCTCACAGCTGGTAAACAGGGGAAATGGATTTGAGCAGAAGCAGTCTGGTTACTTCACTCCCCATGTAAGAAATGTCACGTCACTGCCATTGTGTCCAGGCACAAGCACAGGGGCATTATCCATGTGTACTGTGTGTAATGGTCACCATATATACTTGTTTCAATATGCCATTTAAATCTGTGGACATTAAGGACTTTAAATTCGTGGCTCTTTTAGATGCTGTGATGGTTCGAATGAGAATGTCCCCCATAAGACTCCAAGCATTTAAACATTTTTGTCTCCATTTGGTCATGTTGTTTTGAGAGTTCTTGGAGGATGTGGTCATATTGGAGGAAGCACATCACTGGGGGGTCAGCTTAGAGAGTTCTTAAGTCTGCCAGATCTCCAGTTGCTCTCTGCTTCCTGTGCCTGCTTGAAGATGCAAGAGCTTAGCTTTTACTCCTCCTCCAGCCACCTCTGCCTCCATGCTTCCCCATCACGATGGACTCTCGCCCCTTTGGAACCATAAGCTAAATAAACTCTTCCTTTTATAAGTTCCCTTGGTTGTGGTGTTTCTATCAAGCAACAGAAAAGTGACTCATACAGATGCCTTATGACAACATCACACCCTGTACTGAACTCATCAACTCTTGAGTAAGTCAAGAATTGTGGGAAAAGAGTAAAAATGCCATTTCTTATAGCCGCTTTTTCAGGCAGTAATGCCATTTCCCCAAAACTGAAAATATATTCTCTGCCTTTCCAATAAGTATTTTCTATCAAACTTCTATGTAGAAGGTTCTATGCTGGTGAAGAGAAGAGCAAGCAAAGTGGACTTTGTGTCAGTACTCAAAGAAGATGTTGTCCCAGAGGAATCAATGACCCTGACTCCTAGTTGTCAAGATGGGCAGAGTGCCAGTCCACATGGAGACTAGCATCCAGGGGTGTCAACTGACCCTGACACCCTGCAGATGAAGTTGACAAGAGAGAGAACAGACTCTGTTGTCTACAGAGAGAACAGTGTCCAGGAGAGTTAACTGGCCATGACCCCTCCATGAAGAGCAATGGCCACCTTCCCAGTGTATGGGAAAGGTAGTCAGTGTCTCCATCTCTCCAAACCCTGGCTCCTTCAGGATGCTTCTTGTATCACCTTACAAAGGAGAAGGCATGACTTTATTTAAAATATTAAGACTGTACATCCAGGTTGGAGAGATGACTCAGCAGTTAAGAGCACTGGCTTCTTTTGCAGAGGACCCAGGTTCAGTTCTCGGTACCCACATGGTGGCTAACCACCCATCCATAAATCCAGTTCCAGGGAATTTGATGTCCTCTTATGACCTCAGAAATTGCATGACATGAGCGTACTTAAATACATGAAAGTAATACACTCATACACATTTAAAAAAGAAATAATTTTTTAAAACTCTGTGTATCCAAGAAATGGCATAATTTATATGTGTGGTATAGGAATAATTGATTAATTTGGGGCTGGAGAGGTGGCTCAGTCACTAAAGTACTTATATGCAAACATGAGGATGTGAGATTGATCCCCAGCACCCACATAAAATCCCATCATGCAGGTCTAGAATTCTAGCTCTGAGAATGTGGAGGCAGGTGGATCCTTGAAGCTCATTGGCCAGCCAGTCTCTCAGTCTGTGAGATCCAGGTTCAGAGACAGATACTCTCAAAAAATAAGGTGGGAAGCAATTGGTAAAGACACTAACCTCAGGTCTTCCGGAAGAACAGCAAGTGCTCTTAACCTCTGAGCCACATCTCCAGCCCTTAGGTCCCACTTCTTAAAGGTTCCATGGCTTCCCAGGTAGACCCAAGCTGAAGATCAAGCCTTTACCACATGGGCCTTTGAGAGACACTCAGAATTTAAATTATAACCATGAAAATGTTTATTGAAATATCAACAATTTGGATAGATCACAATGTTTGTTGTGAACTTTCAATACTCATAAATAAACTCAGTTTCAAATCCTATATATGACAAAACAATAAGTTGATAGTTGCTTGGTCTTAGTGTAAGTTTTACAAATATTTTTTCTTGGATAGATGAGGTTTATTGATTAATTTAATATAACTGACACAGCTTATTAGCCTGTAACCCTTCTTTATTATTTAAATTATTATATTTGAGAAAATAATTGTCCTTTGATTTTTATATAGCCATCATAAAAAGTGAATGTTCCTTCTTAATTCTGTTTTTGAAGTGATATCAAAGTTCTCTTTGATTTGAGGCTGGAGAAATGGCTCAGCAGTTAAGAACACTTCTTACAAGGACCCAAAATTTGGTCCCAGCACCCATATGGTGGCTAACAACAGTCCATAGCTCCAGTTCCAAGAGATGTGATGCCCTCTTCTGGCCTCTACGGGCGTTGCATGACACAGGTGCTCTTACATACCTCCAGGCAAAACACTCATATATGTAAAAAATTTTAAATGTACAATAAAAAATTTTTAATTCTTTTTGAATTTTAGAATTTCAGTTGTAAACATTTGACAACATATTATCCTTCTGGAAAGACTGTAATTTGGTCTGTCAGTACGTTTTCACATAATTCTGGGAGAGCAGTCATCATTATCTTTTGAGAGAATTTGACACCATTGTCATTCAGTACTTACTTTGGGATTTCTGATGGTAAAGAGCATTACAAAGCCCAACTCATCTCAGATACAGCGATGCTTAATTTCATTTGCCTCCTTGAGGAGCTCTAGAATCACCTAGGAGACTAGCCTCTGGGCAGGCCTGTGAGGAACTGTCTAGATTAGTTTCACTGGGGTAGGAAGACTTTCCCAATGTGGATGGCACATTCCCTGGGCTTGGATACTGGACTGTATAGAAAGGAAAAAGCGAGCCAAGCACCTGCATTCATTGCTATTGGCCTCTTGATTGTGGATGTGACGTGACCAGCAGCTTGGAGCTCCTGTGGACTTGACTTTCCCCCATGATGGACAGAAATCTTAATCTGTGAGCTAAAATTAACCCCTTCGTTCTTAAGATGTTTTTGTCAGAGAATTTAAAAAGAGCAAGTAGAAAAGAAACTAAGATGCCTTCCAGGTTTTAAACTTAATGACATCATGCTGAAGTATGACAATTTAAGTCTCTAAGTGATTATTCAGAAAGTTGTTTAATGATCTTTAGAAAGCAACCTAAATTTCAAAAATTATAACCACTCCTACATCACTGAAGTATGATATGAATAACTGAATGCTTTCACATTTTCTTTCTCTTTTAATTTCTTTCCAATTTGATCAAAAGTATAGTCAAAACTGTATAACCTAATCATAAAAACAAGATTTCCTTCTAGATCAAAAGGATATTCACAGAACAACAACAAGAGTAGTACTAAATATTTTTCAAGACAAGATCTCTCCATGTAGCCTAGGCTAGCCTCCAACTCATGATCCTTCTGCCTCATCTTTCCAAACGCTGAGCCTATGGGCCTGCAACACTAGGCTTGGCTCAGTAATACATTTTGCATGGGAATATACTTTTTAACTTTTTTCCTAAAGACCAAACTATGGTGTCAGTTTGAGAGAAAGTAAAGCTCACATGTCCAAATACTTTTAAAAGTATTTCTAGGGGCTGGAGAAATGTTTAAGTGGTAAAAAGCACTGGTTTCTCTTACAATCAACCCAGGTTCAGTCTCCAGCACCCACATGGCAGTCACAACCCTCTGTAACTCTGGGTCTATGGGATCTGATGCTCTCTTCTGTGTTCTTGGGGCACTGCAGTCATATGGCACACACACTCCTGTGGGTAAAACACTTAAAAGTATGAAATAAAAATAAATTAGTCTCTTTTTACAAATATTTCTAATAAATATCAGTATGACCCAAACCAATTTCCTCCTCCCAAAAATATCTCTGGAGACCAATAGAGTGCTTTTTTCAAGTGAACATGTGTATATAATGGGCAAACATGGAAATGGCAATATTTTAAATTTTATTGGTCAACACATAAAAGTTACACATAGGCTTGCTTTGGTCTTACCTCCTGGAGAAAGAGAAATGCTGTACGCCGCAGTCCAACTTTCATTACCTCTTTTCACTTTGTCTTTTCCCTGATATTTTGCTAAATATAGCTAAAGTTAGCTTTCTCTGTTTCAGAGGAAAACACACCTTGGCAGGACCTTCATGACCCTTCCGGTGATTCTAGATGTAGACTCAGAGAGTTTCCCTGCATCTCCCAGCTTTCAGCATGTCCGTACTGTTTCTTTCTAACAGCATGCACTCAAACCATTGTTTTATAACAGTAACCTTATTCTTTCTGTGTAACCTTGCTTTTTTATCTACTCACCAAACAAACCAGCTTAGAAATTAATTCATCTTTGACCCTCTGCAATATCTAGGATTTTCTTCTGATGTTTTCTGTCAGAACAAACACTAATAGGCAGTTTTAAAAATAGAGTTTGTATGCCCTGATCTCATACAATCCTGGCTGTAATGAACTCTCCCAGCAATGAAACTTGTCTTCCCTGTGTGGTCAACCAATGTCATAACAATGGAGTACTTTGGGTTATCTGAGCCCTCTGGCATAGGGTTTGGAGGAATGTTTATTGGGAAGGAGGTGTGTGGGGGGGTATGTACATCTGGACCATAAGGCTAATGTTTTAAGATAAATCTTGTTTATTCAAGGAAAATGAATTGCCAATTACCAACTCCTATAATTCATACTTTTCTGTTGTTGTCATTTATTAGCATAAATGGAAAATTCTTACACTGATATTTTGATGGCAAGATGTGATAAAGTTAATAAAAGGAATTCTTAAGTATCTTCTGCTAAATAAGCTGGCAAATTGTCAAATGTCAGAGTGTCACGGCACACTTGGCCTACATACAGAGGAGGAGGAGGAGGACGAGGAGGAGGACGAGGATGAGGACAAGGAGAGGCAGGAAGGGCAGGAAGATGGGGAGGAGGAGAAGGAGACAAGGGGGAGGAAGATGAGAAAAAGGAGGAGGAAGAAGAGGAGGAAGAGGGAGGGAAGAGGAGGTTAAGAAGAGGAAGTAGAAAGGGAAGAGAAGGGAGAAGGGGAGGGAAGAGAGCAGGAACAAAAGGAGAAGAATTTGTGTAATAAACCTGTTTTCCTCCTTACTAGGAGAAATTGATGATTGACCTTGGCCATGCCCAGAAGTTTCTCCAGTGTCCTCTAGATGACACTAGTCATGTCCAGATGTTTCTGTACTGTCCTCTAGATGAACTTGGTTATGTCCAGATGCTTCTCCACAGTCCTCTAGATGACCTTGGCCATGCCCAGATGTTTCTCCACTGTCCCCTAGGTGACCTTGGCCATGCCCAGATGCTTCTCCACTGTTCCCTAGGTGACCTTGGCCGTGCCCAGATGCTTCTCCACTGTCCCCTAGGTGACCCTGGCTATGCCCAGGTGTTTCCCCCAGGTCCTTCTAGATTGATCTGCACCCAAAGCCCAACTTCCTACGTCAGTACTGAAGGGAAGGCTAACACAGTTAAGGAAAGTCTCGCAAATTTTTTAAGACAAAGTATAAAAATGCAGGATGAGAGTTATCAAAAGAGGTGACTGAAATGACAGCATGAAGTTACAGACCTATTTTTATCTGTTCCTCATTCGTCTTCACTATGAATATTAATGTATTCACTATCTACAGTGTGGAGAGGACCACGGTCAGTTTCATCTGAACCAACTTCTAAAATCTGCACATATTTGGAAAGTATCCAGGTAAGACGTTTTGTTTCTGTTTCAAGACAGCTTTCTCACTGAGTTCTCAAGGGCAAATCACAATATTTTTCACTCGGTTGTAAAAACATCCTTTCAATGGAACCATGGCAGCTATTGTACGTTTAATAGATATCTCCCTTTGGCAAACTATGTTAATAATTATCTATTCTTCACAGCTACTCGGATATACTTGAAGAGCTGCTAACACCTTCCAGAATGATCTAACTTTCATTTTGAAATATCACTGTTGCTAGTGATTACATTTCGAAGGATTTCTTTTTCTTATTCATTTTGTGAATTTGAGTATGCATGTGTCACTAAGATCTTTGTAAAACTGAATTTCCATACTTTGAAAGTCACTGTCTCTTGTTTAAAATTCCTGCTGGAACTCCCTAAAAATAATTGGTATATCATAAATAGAGGAGTGTGAATTCAAATTGGAAAACTCGAGTGACAGGAAATGAACATATCATAATTGATTCTTATACTAAATGTATTCATGCATTGCCTGGAAGAATAGGCTCATCAGGAAGTTAAACTAGGGGAAGGTACCAGTACTATAGTTTGGGTATATCTGGAATTAAATTGCTCTGAGCTGAACCCAGAAATGTGGGGTGTGGGAGGTATGTGTCATAAATCTTTGAGGCAAAGCTAGCCAAAAAAACTGGTTAAAACTGCTTTTGTGGAATAATAATAATCATCATTTCTTTGTGAAGTTATTGTATATTTTGCATGCATTTTCTCACTTAATTTTCTCCCTGAATACTGTGATAATTCTTACCGTCTTCTTCAGAATCAAGAAAATTGAAATTCTCAGAGGTCACACATCTGGCCCAAGGCTCTCAAGTCTTTAGCAGCAGCGCTAAAATCAGATCTACCTGGAATAATAATAATTAAAAAAAAAAACAGTCGCAAACCATTGCATCTCTATGTGTAGCTTTTTCCTAATATCCCTCCAAAATATCCAGCCTCATACTGTATCATCAAGTAGCTAGGACCAGAAAGGATTTGGGACATAATCTAATGCAAATTAAATCATTGCATCTCCATGTGTAGCTTTTTCCTAATGCCCCTCCAAAATATCTAGCCTCATACTATGACATCATCAAGTAGCTAGGACCAGAAAAGATTTTAGATGTAATCTAATACAAATTTTATAGGTAACTTCATGGACCACATGCATGAAGAGCTGCTAACACAGCTCTTAATGCAGTTTCGTTTTTATAAAATAAATTTGTCCACAGAGAGGAGGGGCAAGAACAAATAGGGAAACGGGGAGCGTGGCAAAGAGATATCAAGGGTACCAAATTCTTTGTTAAAAGAGGGATATTCTTAGCCAGCCAGGCATGGTGTTGCACACCTTTAATCCCAGGACTCTGGAGGCAGAAGCAGGTGGATCACTGTGAGATACAGAACTCTAGTGAGTTCCAGGCAAGTTGTGGCCACAAGGAGACACTGTCTCATAAAGACCAAAAAAAAAAAGAAAAAAGAAAAAGAAAACAAAAAACAAAACAAAGCAGGGAAATTCTTTGGCGATGATGCACTGAAGCATCCTTTCAAACTGTTCAAAGTTCAAACCAGTGTTTTTGAAGACTGTAACTTGGGAACAGCCTCCTGCTCCTGTCTCATACCTTCCACCTCTTGCCCCCATGCATCAGGTGGCCAGTCCACCATACATAGACAGATAGACAGGTGTTCATGGGGTTGAATCAGAGCAAAGAAAAAGTTCTGCTATGTAAGAGGCAGATGACATCTGTGAAGGATAGCTGAGATTCAGATTGAACTACTCCTCCTCTTCTCTCCACCACCAGCGTAGTGCTCAACCATCTGAGTCTGTGAGTGAAATGCCACACCCCAATACTCCTCATTTATGAGTGGAACTAAAACAGAGACGTTCAAAAAGTTGCCAACCATTGCATAGATGGAATGCTGCAGCCACAATGAAGGCCAGGTCTAATTTGAGTGAGTGCTTCAACTGCTTTCATTACATTCCAACCCTAGCTTTTCTGTTACCTAGCACAGGCTCCATCCCAGCCTCATGATGACCACTGTAGGGATTAGTTCTCTGTGATACAGTGCTTCTCTGCCTGCCTCAGACCCCTTGATGATGTGATCACAAGGCCAAGCACTAGCACATTGACCCACACCTGTAATGGCAGTATGCCATTGTGGGGGATGACGGTAGGAGAGATAGACAGTATGAGGATAGCCCGGACTCATAGCACAACTATGTCTCAAAGGAGAGGGGCAATTACTTGGACTAGAATAATGGCAGGACCCATTATTTTTCAATGCTTTTTCTATAAAACAGATATAAGATTTAAAAGAGAAGAGACAGAGCAGGTACATTTCTGGGGGTCTTTTTAGTATCAGGAACAGGTCTTGGGTGAAGACCAGCTATCCTTTTCCTACCTCCACTGACTTGTACACGTTCTGTGTATGTCGTTTTTGAAATGACAAGGGAAGTGATAATGGAATAACTCGTGAGAAGGCAGCTACTGTAAATGCATTGAGGGTCCAGTGCTAGGATTTGTCTTGCATAACTTATCATTCAATATCTCAGTGGTTTTCAGGACAAATAAGAAGGTGAAGTTAATAATGGTTTGGAAAGTGTTTTGAACAGCAAAACCTGTAAGAATCTGTGTGCAAATCACACACATCCCACATAACATGGGCAAAGCTCAAACAATAAGAGCGCTTGGAAAGAGAAATGCAGCAGCCCTGTTCCAAAGACAATCCCATCTGTCATAAACATACACCATCAGTTCTATATATGACTTATAAGATGCTGCATATTTAAAATTTTATAATGTTAATGTCTATTACTATATACTCATTGGTTTTTGAGTGTTGAAAAACAACCTATTTCTCTTTTTCCTGGTTTCACAGCATCAACACAGAAATGTCTGTGACCCTATAACATGAGAGCATTCCCCGCCCCCCCCCCCCAACAACAGGAGTTCAGTTCTGCAATGGGCCCTCCTAGGTGTTCTCTCACTCAGTAGTGCTGATGCTGTCCACCTCAAGATGACACCATATTCTGGGAACACTGAAGGCTCCATCCTTACAGCACAACATGACAGGGAGGTTAAGGTCGCAGGATGCTGAAGCATCTGGTCACATTGCACTTGCACTCAGGAGAAGGAGAGTGATGATTGCTGGTGTTCAGCCTGTTTCCTCCTTTCTAAGAAGTCCAGGACCCAAGCTCAGGGAATGGTGCCACCCACTTTCAGGGTTATCTTTTCACTTCAATGAACCTAATCAAGATAATCTCTCACAGGACTGGCCACGAGCTAACCTGATCTAAAGAATCCCTCACAGATGTGCCTGGAGCTATGTCTCCTAGGTGATTACAGAGCCTACCAAATTGACAGTAAACACTATCTTACTGACCATTGGTGATCATCCCCCAGAGATGGAGGGAAAGCCTAACGTTGATCCCACCTTTATCCTTGCAATGACCAGCTCCCACCTACTCTGGTTTCATTTCTCTTTCTGTGATAAACACATTAACCAAAAATATCTTGAGGAGGAAAGGACTTACATGACTTACAGGTTATGTCCATCATGGAGGTAAGCCAAGATAGTAATGCAGGGCAAGAACCTGGAGACAGGAACTGAAGCAGAGACCATTGAGGAATACTGCTTATTGGCTGGCTTCCTCTGGTCTGCTAAGCCACCTATCTTATACAGCCCAGGACCACCTACCCAAGAATGGTATGGCCCGCAGTAAGCTAAGCCTTCCTACATCAACCTGCAATCAAAAAAATGCCCCACAGTCATTCCCACAGCCCAGTCTAATGGAGGTTATTATTCATTTGCAATTCTCTCTTACCAGGTGTGTCAAGTTGATAACTAAAGCTAACTGTGACACTCCAAGGAGAGTAGGCTTGTTCGTCACAGGTCAACTCATTCACAATCACATACTACACACTCTTTGCAGATCCCAAGGCCTTTAGGTCATAAATAAGAGCAAATACCAAATATATGTTTCACAAAGCCATAACTTTGCAGCTTACATTTCGCATTTACAGTAGTTTGATGCAATGGTTAATCTCTAAGAGGGTTGCTTAATTTATCATGAGTTTTTGGAGTGTGAAAGTTCACAAATGAGTCATCTCTCAAGTCATACGTGTGTGTCACTCCCTTTCCTGTTGCTGTAATAAAATACTCTTGACAAAACCAACTTAAGGGAGAAAGGGTTTATTTCAGCTAACACTTCAAGGCTACAATCCATCTTTATGGGAGGTCACAGCAGCAGGAACTGGAGATATCTAGTCATGGTAAAGAGGCAGAAGACTAGGGATGAATGCATGCTTATTTTATCAAGTGTTATTTTATGTGCCGCCCATTATAGAATCATGGCCAAAACAGAACTTGTAATAAATGATGTCTGTGCTAAAGATGTAAGATATGCTTTCCCACCCAATTTAGCGACTGTTTTGTTTTTACTTTTGCAGACAATGCCTTTCAACAGTAATCCAAAAATATGACTTCCACGTGAAAGACCTGCTGAAAACCCAGGTATTAACCTGTAATATCATCCATGCATTAAGTATTTATTAAGCATCTTCTATATCTCTAAGACTCTGGTGAATTAAACAGAGTCCATATTTTAAGAGGATTTCAATTCTACTGTAGAAAATAGATAAGTTAAAAGAAAGATGCAGTAAAATGTTATACCTGCTAAGGAAGACCTGCGTGTATACTGGACACAAAAGGAAGAGCAGTGACTTTCACACATTTGAATTATATGTTAAAAAACTGAACACATGCTTTATGGGCAGAAGAAGGAAAACTTGGAGACAGACAGGAAATAGAGGTAACTTTCAAAAATATAAAAATAGAAACAATGGGTAGAGAAGCAGCCTGGTTTGATTAGGAAACTATTAAATTTCCCAATACCTCAGTCAGGGCTCAAGGTGAGAGGATGGAAAGAGCTATGTGTATTTAGCCAGTCTAATGACTTTTTACATAGCCAGTCTAATGACTTTTTGATTTATGGGCTGATGGCAGAGGTCACTGTTTAGAGCCATAGGATGGCTGATAGATGGCTAGAGGAATTCCCATTAGCCCAAAGAGATGATGGGGGCATGGACCAGCACTGTACTGCAGGGATGCAGATGAGATTCATAACAGGTGGAAATATGAAATTTGCATGATTAGGTAGGAGACTAACAGTGAGGACAGGGGTGCCTGAAATAACTCCAGACTCCTGACTGCCAGGACTGCTTGGAGAGATCGATTCAGGAGAATAGCGAAGAGGAAAAGCTGGCTTGGCAGGAGAGGATGATGGACGCAGTCCAGAGCTACTGAAATTCGGCACCTGCTGGGCATCTAAGTTGTGATCTCCATTAGGCAGGCCATTTCTGAGAGATGCCACTTTCAGGGAAGGGTTAGCATTTTAAAAATAAAATACCATATTACAGAAAATCCTATAACAGAAATATCTTTAAAGTAAGTAAGAAGTTCCTTTTCCATTAATGAGCTGGATCAACATATCCATAAAATGACACATGGCTCAAGGTGATTATCCCTTATAGTAATGAATACTAACAGGACCTGACAACATCCTTAATGTGGATACTAAACTGATACTCGAATTCTACACAAATAAAGATATGGGGACAACAATTACACACTTCCTGTTCTTCCCTGAAATCCAGTCCTCTCACTCTCTGATTGCATTTCTTTCCTGGGCCCATTTGAATCTGGAAGTGAAAGAAATGGGATGTGAACAAGTGAATGACTATGACATTGCTTTTAGTGGCCTGGTAGTGTCTGAAGCATGGGGGCGAGGGGGGGATGTTCAGTGGGTAATGTGTTTATTATGCAAGCATGAGGGCCTGCATTAGATTTCCCAGCATCCCTCTAAGACCGGGTGTGCTGATACACATATGTAACCTCAGTGCTGGGGAGGCAGAGAGAGGAGGATCCTGGGGGCTCACTTGCCCATCACTCTAGCTGAAGCAGAGTTCCAGGTTTACTGAGAGATCCTGACTCAAAAAAATTAAGAGGAGGGGCTGGGGAGATGGCTCAGAGGTTAAGAGCACTGGCTGCTCTTGCAGAGGACCTGGGTTCAGTTCCCAGCACCCACATGGCAGCTAACAACTGCCCATAACTTCAGTCCCAGGGGATCCAACAGCCTCTTCTGACCTCTGTGGGCATTGCACAACATGGGTGCATGTAAGTCCATGCAGGCAGTACACGCATACACATAAAACAAAAATAAATAAATAAAATATTTAAAAAATAAGTAAAGAAGGATAAAGGAATGTCAACTTCTGATGTCCACAGGTGCATACACACATGCACTCTCACACACATGTGCATACACCATACACACACAGTGTTTTAAGTGGTAGCTTTGAGCTTGGTTCTTCTAAAAATCCTTCTTTCTAAGGTATAATTTGCAATTTATCAGGACCTAAGGCATATTAATAGTTCACTGATCATCTATACCAGGCCGGTTTCAGTTAGTTTAATCTCTCAATGCTATTCATGTGCTCTACATATCTCCTTCCCACACACACAGGCGCAGGTTTTTGAAAATCTGTAGCTGTTCTTAGTTTCCAAATTTAGAAGTGACGTCTCATTGCTCCTATATGAAGCAACCCATGTCATCACTTTCAAAGAAACCATCGACCATTGTGAATTTTTCCGGCATGACAGGATTTAGCAAAACATCAAAGAAATGCTGTCTTTAGTGTGTCACTGGCAAGTCCTGCTCATTGCTTGACACTGAATTAATTTCTAAATAAGTCACAGAGCCTGCAGTCTTCCAGATGAGGTCAGGCCCAAAGACCTTCTTCTTTTTTTTTTTTTTTTTTCGGTCTTTTTGAAACAGGGTCTCTTTGTAGCCCCCACTGTCCTGGAATTCACTATGTAGACCAGGCTGGCCTTGAACTCACAGAGATCCACCTGCTCTGCCCCCCCCCCGAGTGCAGGGATTAAAGGTGCGTGCCACTATGCCCAGCCAAGACACTCTTCTTTAAAAAAAATGTTTTATTATTTTATTTTATGTATATGAGTGTATTACTTGCATGTATGTGATTGCGCCCATGTCGTGCAATGCTGTGGAGGTCAGAAGTGGGCTTCAGAGACCTGGAGTTAAGGATGGTTTGTAGCTGCCATGTGGGTGGCTGGGAATTGAACCCAGATTCCCTGCAAGAGCACTCAGTGCTCTTAACTGCTGAGCCATCTCTCTAGCCCCAACAAAGAGCTTATTAAAAGTAATTTTCCAGTTCAGCATCCAGGACAAATGTCTGAGATCTGTGGGCAGACCATAATATTACCAGTTACAGTGCTGCAACTTCGATTCATGTGATAAGTGTATTAAGTAGTATGCATGTTGCATCATCGTTTATTTGCCACCTACCATTTCATCTATGTCCGACACGACATCAATTGAAAACTAACATTTCTGTCATATCTTACAAAGTCATTATTTTACATGATTTGAAAAAAGTAACAAATGCTCAGATGAATAAATGTCAGGAATAAAGGGTTAATTTAAATTGCCAAATATGGGTGCTCCCCAAAGTGATTATTTCAACATACTTTAGACCTCTGACATTTCAGATTGGGTATGCTGGCTTGCATCTTAGGGGACTAACTGTGTAGATGATCTATATGGAGCTTCTTCCTTTGGACATTTTCCTCCTCAGTTCCATTCCATGAGTAAGTTAAATTATAAGGAATATCATTTTGCATTCATTCTGTATTCTATATTCTTTAAATTTCAGAATGAAAGAGTTTCTTCCTAAAGATATTGTTGAATGATGACTTGAGGCAAAGTACTGAACTATTTACTCACTGGGGTAAAAAGAGAGAGAGACTAGAGAACTCTAAAGTCACAGATGACCTAGTCTGAGAGAAGGCATATTCATATAAATAATAGGAGTGGTATCTATTCACCCCAACACAGTACAAAGTCAGATCTCACCCTAGCTGAAAGAATCAACTTTTCATTCTAAATTGCTTCTTGCTATTACACTTTAATACTTTGCTTCCAAAGTTCTTACTGAAATGTCAGAACTTTTAGAGGTTACCAATTCCTGCAACCTGTGAGAAGTTTACATGAGAATCTCATCAACCACTGAACTAACTGTAAGGCACATGAGCCAGTGTGGAATGAAATGAACTCATGCTTTGACATAAGATTGGGCTCCATGGACATGTCTAACTAGCTTGAAAAGGCTAAGAGCCTTCCTCTCCAGTCCTTCCACCAGCCAACCCATGACTCACAGGCGTGAGAGTCTAGAGCCAGAAGAGTAAGACATTTACAGTATTTAAACTTAAATATCTCAAGAGAAATTCAGGATAATGCTTACCTCATAGTGCCCCTCCTCCAAAGCCATAAGCTACCCAGAAAAAGAAAATTCAAACTATAAGTAGATAGAGCACAAAAAGATTTTATAATATGAATTAATATCTTTTCAAAACTGAAGTGCTCTTATTCACTGCAAGTATATAACTAGGTGTTCAGGACTTCTAATTTCAAACGTAATTTAATCAGAGTTAACAGTCCAGGTCAAAATTCAGGAGCAGAGCCTCCACTGTGAAGGAATTTCATACGACATCCCCCACACAGTTCCTATTCCTTTTAGTTAGAGATAATAAACCATAATACAGTGATATCTTTAATGATAAATGAAAGTGACCAATGTGGTATGCTTAATAAGGATGGTGATTGGGAGAAAGTCTTCACAGAAAGATGAGTACAGGTGTTATCAGACTACAGCCACTATTTTTATTACTACCTCTAAGGGAGGAGATTAGAGATAATCCATAAGAATAGAGCCATGGAACTGATTTACATTCACCATATGATATAACAAAAGGTGCGGGAAAGAGCAAAAATATTCATAAGAAGAAAATAGGATAAAATGAATGAGCACCAAGGACCAGAAAGATGGGCACAAAGAAAGAGAGGTTAAGGAGATAGAGGAGATAAAATAGGGTCACAGGAAATAAGGGCAATTGTGGAAATGAATCCTAGCTTAGTGGAAATGCAGGCCAGAATGAAATTACTAAACTCAGACCTCTTATGTAAAGAATACCCTGTCTTTCAGGGCCTTGAGCTCATGATTCCCACTTCAGCTTTTGCAGTGCTGGGATCACAGGAGTGCACTTGTTTCTGAATGTTCTATCTCTTAATGATTAAAGATGTTCAGCTAACTTCATGAGAACTGAAAGGTTCTCCTGTATTCCAATGCAAGTTCATTGTTTGGTGTACGATAAGTTCATGAAAATATTCCCTTCCCATATGTGACTTGTTTACGTCATTTATTCATATATCATTCAAAAGGCTGAAGGTTTTTTAAATCCAGTTTCAATTTTTGTTTTATGCTTTTTAACTTTAGAAAATATTTTATTTTTAATTTTATGTTTATGAATATGTTGTCTGCATGTACACTGGTGTTGTGCAATGCCTACAGAGGTCAGAAGAGGGTATCAGATCCCCTGGAGCTGGAATTATGAATGGTTGTTAGCTGCCATGTGGGTGTTGGGAACTGAACCTGGGTCCTCTGTAAGAGCAGCCAATGCTCTTAACTGCTGAGCCATCTGTCCAGCCCAGTTTTATGCTTTTTTATACCATTTACTAATGATTGGCCTATACAGCTTTGCACACTTTCTGTATATTTTTCAAGATTATTTAAAGTCCTAATTACTTTTCAGTTTTCTGTCCCATTTCAAATTAATCTTCATATATATATAAAGAAGTAATCCTAAGGATTATTTTTAAGTTATTCTTTGTATTTGATAATGTCATACATGTATACCTGATTTTGATTATTGTCAACCCCTCATTAACCCATGGTGTCCACCTCTCTCTTCCCACTGAACCCTTTTTCTTCTTTCCAACAAGCCCGTACTTACTCTGATATCTTTGTTTGCAGGGGGTTTTGTGTGTGTGTGTGTGTGTGTGTGTGTGTGTGTGTGTGTGTGTGTGTAAAACCCACTGCCCACTGAGTTTAACTAGGGTTGTCTGTATAAACATAGGTGGGAAGTTTATTTACTGGAGTAAGTTTTCAGTGGTTACACCTGAAGAATAAGTCACATCGTCCCCCAGTACTCATTAAGTGTCAATGGTGCCTTGATGGGGAGTGCAGCACCAGCAGCCCCTCCCACCCATGCTGGAATGTTGGTGGGCCCATCTTTTGTAGGTGACCACAGCTACACTGAGTTCAGGAGTGCAATAGCCATGGGTGTCCCGAAGACACCATCTCACAGCACTTTATTTTTTATTTCTCTGATTGCATAGCAGGCTCTTCCTGAATAATTTAAAGTTTGCTTTCCTTGATTGCATAATTTTGGCAAACATTTTGAAAAGGTAGTTAGTGATATGTTTGCAGATCGGGTTCTAGACTATCCATCCTGCTTCATCTTTTACATTCAGCCCCTGTGTAATTGCCAGGCATTTGCAAGAAGTGTTGACATCACAAAATATGAGGACACCATATTATTATTTTTAAAAATGTTTGCCTATCTGAGGTACCTTGCTGACACTGCTGTCGAATCTATTGATCTATTTTAGGAGAATTAGTGTATGCTCTATGACAAAACTAACACCCGCATCATTTCAGGGTTTGACTTTGCTTAAGTCGTATCATCACACAGTTCTTTGTGGAGCCTCAATTTATTATTTTTCTTTTATTGAGTGCTAGGCAAAATGTGTGGGGCAGCATTAAAGATTAAGATAAACTGCACGCAGGCCTGGAAGTAGCCAACTTTCTTCTACTATGCTTTCAGAATGTAGGACTGATGCAGTCTAATGGAGATGTTGGTTGGTACCACGGGGTTTTCTCCCAGTTTCTGCCTCACTCTGCGCTGACTTTCAGAAGCTCCTGCTTGCCTGCACTGTTCAGCGGGGCCTTCTGCACCCTTCCAGCCTCTACAGTCTCTCCACTTATTACTGAATGACTGACTCATCTGGTAGAGGGTCAAGAGAGCTTTTACATTGTAAGAATCCAACCACAGTCCCAAGCGGACTCTCTACCTGAGTTCAGGGATTTCCTGATCACTCTTGTTATTCTACACGTAACAGGAAAATTCCTTGTTTTGTCTGGACTTGGTCCTGAGCAGAAGAGTTTCCTATTCTTCCTAACAATGCCTGACCTAGGGTTGCTATCTGGGTAAGATCCCGAATCCAAGGCAGGATATGCACTCTGTACCATAGTTTAACGTCCACCCTTCCCTGATCAGCAAAGGATAGTCACCTGTGACTTAGCCTTTTCCCAGTTTGCTTTCTACCCTCACAAGCACGGGGGCTCTTGTGACAGAAGGTTGACTGCCCTCCCCGCTGCAGCCCAAGGTTTTTGAAAAGAGTCCACAAAGGCAGATAGGGTTTTGTGCCTGCCACTAAACATGCCTGCTGTCCCACACACCTGCACTCAATGGGCCCTCGGTTCCAAATGGCATGCTCACTCAAGCCTGAGATTCTTAAAAATCTCTAAGCAATTTCTTTCTCTTCCCATCCACTCAGATGGTAGCACCTCCCTCTCCGACACTCTGCCAAAGCTTAAACATTTTGTGAGTTCCATGTTTCTTTGGATGGAACCTGTCTGCAAATCTGCTCACTTGATCACCTTGTAATTGCACATCTCTGCCAGGATCATAAAGAAATGATTTTTGAATATGTCTGTTTTCACTTTTTTTCAATGGGACCCACATTCTATATTTAACCCAAACTGCAATGACAGAGACTATATTCATCTTCTTGGAAAAGCATGGCCATAATCAAAGGAACTTGGAAACAAAAGCTTTCTTAACTCTCCGTGTGTCTCCAGATTTGCTCACTGATGTTGATACTTTTCAGCCTATATAAGCAAACAGAAACTCAGTCAAGTCTGTGAAGCTGGAAGGGGAAGGTGTTGGGTGTCTGTTTAACTGAAGCTCGTCCTCGTCTCCCTGACGGTGATGAAACCCAAGCTGACTTTCTTTCATTTTGTGGTCTTCCTTTCTGTTTTCCAGGAAGATTTAGACAAGAAAGGTTCGTCATCAACTTTTCCCAGTGCTTCAAATGCTTTTCAGGTATGCTCAGTATCTAGAGTACAGAATGCTGCGTCTTCAAAGTCTGTGAATCATCACATGTCTTCTAAGAGATACTGAGAATGTGGCACTCAGTAAACAGCATCACACCAGGAAGAATTTTGTCTAGTCCAGATTCTGTGAATGACAAAAATCTTTAACTTTCCTAACTGCTTACATACCTGTAACGTGGAGGAATACTTCTTAAGTTTTGAACAAATAATTTTAAGAAAGGTTTTTCTCATATTGAGCCAAACTCAACCTCCCTCAGATCACAATCATGTTTTAATTTGTTGTTCAAAAGCTTTCATTGGATTTGAAAATGTTAAGGTGATTTTCTTTCCTATTACTGTGTGCATATATGTATACAGTGTTCATGTATGTATATGTTTGTGTGTGTATGCGTATATGTGAATGTGTGCACACAGGCACATACGCAAGCATACACCTGTGTGTCTTGGTGTCTGTCTATATATACATATACATATGGAAGTATACATATATGCTTACACAAGGGTGTGTATTTATGTTTCTGGTGTGCATGTGTGAATGTATATATATATATATGTGTGTATGTATGTAGGTGTACATGAATGAGCATTGTGCTTGTATGTTTATTAATTTTATTATGTGTGTATCTGTGTGTGCTTGTGTTGTGCATGTGTGTATCTGTGTGCGTGTATGTAGCTGTGTATATATGTACATGTATGTGTCTGTGTGTATACATTACATATGCATATACATGTATATGTATGTGTATATGTGCATGCTTATTATGTGTAGGCATGTGTGCATGTGTGTATCTCTATGACTATGACTTTATGTATCTACATGTATGTTCATGTGTATGTGTGTGCATGTGTGTCTATGTATGTGCATGAATATATGCATCTTTGAGTACATGTGTGCTTGTGTATGCTGTGTGTATGTGTGTATGCACATGCATGTATATACATGTGATTGGATGTGTGCATGTGTGTGCATGTGTGCATGTGTATATGCATATTTGTGTATATGTGTGCATGTGTGCATGTGTTTGTAGACCTAAGTGTGTCTATGTGTGCATGTGTGTATATGTATATATGTGGTAGTATATCAAGGAAAGTGTTTCTATACAGAATTTCTCTATTTCCTTCTGTCTGAGTTCCCAATAGAGACAATATGTTAGTTACTTTGCTTGTAACAGTGGCCAAACAGCTCTCCTGAAACAATCTAAGTAGAGAAGGGTTTACTGTGGCTTGTGGTTTGAGGGGTAGAGCCCACCCTGGTGTGGCAGGCACAGTGGCAGGAGGATCATAAGGGTGGACAGTGACTGGGATTCTTCTCCTGTTCACACAGCCACAGAACAGGAAGCAGAGAACTTGGACAGAATCAGTGCTAACTATAACCTTTAAGGCCTGCCTTCTGTGACCCCCCCTTCCTCCAGCTAGACCCTACCTTCTTAGGGTTCCATAACTTCCCACAGCCTCCCACAACAGCACCACCAGTGGGGGACCAAGTCTTCAAACACATGAGCCTGTAGGGAGCGTCTCACATCCAAACTCTAACAATGACTGCTACAACTTTGAACACGTATTCAATTTAGCTAGTACAAATGAATATTTTACAACTTTGAATAACAAGAGATGAGGGTATCAACTTTTCAGGTCATTATTTTCTTCATATAAACATTCTGGACAGAGAACAGCTTCCTTCAAAGCTCTCTTGGCCATTAGGCTAAGTTTTCTTCTCCCCTTACAGGTTATAACCTAGACAATGTCTGCAATCGATTCGGGGATCTTAGCTTCCATTCTGCCCCTCCCCATATTCCAAAAAACTGATGAAACCTGAATATTTCAGCACTTATTTCAACATGAGCAGTAAGCATCACCTCCTCACCTCAGAACCTAAGTGCAGCCTGATGCTCTCCTCAGGCTGCTGCGTTATCAATGTTTGAGCTTCTGCTCAGGTTCAAGGTCCCTGTCTGTCATCTAAAGAGTCAGGCTATCTCTGTTCTGGGCTAAACTGCATATTTACATGTTTTTTATGTGAACTTTCAGGGTGTGTGTGCACATCTCTGCATATATGTGTACAGTGTATTTATGTTTCTTAATCCAACAATGGCAAGGGCTAGAACTCCATTTCACTTCCCTTGTGCAGTTCAAGCTCTGCATATCACAAAACAAAATAGAAAACCTACATGTTGGTATTTCTAAAAACCTCATTATGTCTGCATTTCTGACATGTTTAAAGCCTCCCTTGGCAAGGAATCTAAATGTGTGGTGGGGGATTGTGCTGTCACCCATATGGAAATCTGTAGAAGCCAGAGGTAGATGTCGGGTGCCTCCCTTACTAGCCCTCCATCTTATTTTCTGAGACAGGGTCTCTCGGTGAACCTGGAGTGAACCTGGAGTTCGCTGATTGATCTAGACTGGCTGGCTAGCAAGTCCCCAGAATCCACCTGTCTCTACTCCCCCAGCACAGGGATTACAGATGCACGTCACCAGATTTAGCTTTTACATGGATGTTGGGGATCTGGACTCAGATCCTCATGCCTGCACAGCAAGCCTTTTACCCACTGAGACATCTTTCCAGACCCTAGCGATATACTTTCCATTTCCCAGAAAGGAAATTTTTGAACCATCTTAAATCCAATCTTTGTTGTCTTCCCATATTAAATTATATTTTACATAATATAGTCTAGCAATTTCGTGATTCGTGACTATAATGAATTTTTTTATCTTTCAGAGGTTTGTGACTATCACGTGAGTTAAGTCAATCAGAGAAGCAGTATTGAAATCTGCTATACTATATTGAGTAAATGAGCTGTCACATATCCAGCGACCCCAGACCACTCGGGATTTTCATTTTAATTAATATTTATGAAGTATAAGAAATGCATATATCTCTCACATCTACCTGGATATACGATGGGAAAATTGGCACCTTGTATGCACCCCTTACATAATTTTATAACACAAATTCCCACTTCATTACTTACCTATGCACAGACAATGTCTGATTTCTTTTCAAATTTAAACACATATGAATGTCTAAATATTAAACACTAAATTTTACCATTTAGACTTTTTTCATGGTTTAGCTCATTCAATCTTTAGCCCTCTAATCAATTATTATTGTTCTCACTCCAGAGAAGATGGGAACTAGGCCCACTTGAGTGAGCATTTCAATGACAGTTTTAGGTGGAAGGGGCAGAGCCAGGATCTGAATACATGAACCCTCACCTTTGAGCTGAACATTCTATCTGCTGTGCTCATTTAAATGACTTTACTGGTGTGTATTAATAGTGGGTGCCCTCTTCTTTGTGGCAACCGAACTGTCAAGTACGCTTTTAGATCTGATACCCCAAACTACACCCCAGTATTGATGAAATTCAGGAGAAATGCATCTTACTTTCTAGTTATCAGAGCCATGCATCTTCTCATGCAATTTCTTAACAAAGCAGAATTCTGGTACCTACATCTTTCTCAGTACATCCGCCCCTGGTACCCGGATCATTCTCAGTACATCCGCCCCTAATGAGTCACACACTATGAAGCAACTGGATTTTTTTTCAATAGGGATTAATCATAGATATTTTTCTCCATGTTATAATAAATAGTTCTATATATTTAAATTGTGAAAGACAAAATATATCTTAGTTAAACTGTATCCTCTTACTTTTAGCTCATTAACCAGGTCTGCTGACATTTCTGGAATCTCTATTTTGTCTTCTATGGTGTTAATTGCTCTTCCTAGCTTTGTCATCTGTATTTATAAAAATCTCTTAAATTGTACTGGGAATACATTAAGAAGTGTGTCCTGTTAATGTAAAAACCTCGTGTCCTGTCATTTAACTGCTAATATTTTGTTAAGAAGGTGTTGTAGAATAAGCAGACTTGAAATATTGTTTTGTGATGTGAATCTGTATCTTTGCCTCACCCACCCTCGCTCCTTCCGATTCCTCTTCCATCTTTATCCCAAACTCCCTCAATTTTCTTGTTTCTTTTTAGATTGCGTTAAGCTAGATTTGGTCAGTTAGAAAATCAATGATCAGTTACTCCTGCCCTTCAGCTGTCACACAATGCAAATTGTGCCTTAGCACAGGGATAGCCATATCCTTGAGGACTTGGAAGATGAAAAGATCCAACCACCTTTTATTCCATTTCTGCTGCATAAAAAGAGAGGACGTTTGAAGAAAAATTAGTGTTCCTTCAATTTCAATAAATAATAACATGTGATTCTTATCATCTACAGCCATATGTGAGTAATATTATCAGAGAAGTTAAAAATGTATGCAGCGTTCTGGGGTGTGTTGAAACCAAACAAATTACAGATGCCATAAATGAACTAAATCTAATTCTTCAGAGAAAAACAGAGGTAAATATATTCAATTATTATACCATAATTAAATCTTTATTCAATAATTAATTAAAGAGAACAGAAGGTTTTTGACTGGAAACTATATGATTGTGTATATGTATTTGTGTGTGCATATACACCGTATATTTCAGTTATTTTAGAGTATTGACAGCTCAATTCTTTTTTATTTTATTTATTATTATTTTACTTTCTGTGTATCAGTGTGTTGCCTGCATGTATGAAGGTATACCAATGTCATGCAATGCCTTAGGAGGTCAGAAGAGGGCGTCAGATTCCCCTGGAACTGGAGTTACAGTCAGTTGTTAGTTGCCATGTGAGTGCTGGGAATTGACCCTGGCTCTTCTGCAGGAGAAGCCAGCGCTCTGAATTGCTGAGCCATCTCTCTAACCCCAACAGCTTGATTCTATTATACCAAAGACATTCAGTTAAATCAAAAGAAAGTTTCTTCTACCTAGGAAGTTTGTGGCTTCCCTGAAACTTCAAAGTGAAGTCCAATCCACTCCCATCCCAATGGAGGTACTACACAGTTACAAGCAGGTGTCTGTACAGGCTGATAGCGGCAGCCCTGGGCAATGGTGTTTGCAGTTGTTAGGGTCAACAGTGTCTGTGCAGGCATCATGTGAGAAAGAAGGGCGTGTCTGTGACAACTTTCAGTCACTGTGTGGTGGACAGTGGTACTATGAGCTCTAAGGGAAGTTCTCTGGTAGCTGCATCCTGTGCTAATCTCCTAGTCGGAAGGGTTGGAAAATGAGCATTATGTAATTTTTTTAATTTTCAAATTTCAGAACAAGGAAAATCATGTGTGTGACTGTAGCTTTAAAAAAATATATATGACGCCCATCAAAATGGCAGTAACATAATAATAATTGTAATAACAATAATAATAGTACCCTTTTATCTTCAGAGGTTATGTCTATGATCCCATGAGATCTCAAAAAAACATCTATACAAATAAACCCCATGTTTGTGCATATACACACATACCTTAGAGCTTAATTTATAAAATGTACAAAGGGGCTGGAGAGATGGCTCAGAAGCTAAGAGCACTTAGGATTGCTCTTGCAGAGGACCCACATGGCGGCTAACAAATGGAGTTGTCTGTAACTCCATTTTTAGGGGACCCAATACCTACTTCTGACCTCCATAGGCATTGCATGACACAGATGCACTTACACACATGCAGACAATATATTTATATACATAAGATAAAAACAAGGGCTGGAGAGATGGCTCAGCGGTTAAGAGCACTGACCTTGCAGAGCACCTAGGTTCGATTCCCAGCACCTACATGGTGGCTATGAACTGTCCTTAACTCTAGTTCCAGGGGAATCTGACACCCTCTTATGACCTCCATGGCATTTCATGACATAGGTGCACTCACACGCATGCAAGCAATACACTCATACACATAAAATAAAAATAATAAATAAAAATATTTTAAAACGATAAAAATAATAAAAATATACACAGGAAAAAATAATAAAATTTACAATAAAATACAGCAATTATAAAAATATACCATAACATAGTTGCCAACATCATTATTCTGGCTCTTGGGGGTCATTATTAAGTCAAATCTAGGTACTTGAGCACAGACGTTGCAAATCCATGACGGCTGATCTGACAATTCAGAAGCTACTCTGTGTCTAATGGGTAGGTAGCACATACCTTGTGGATATGCCAGAAAGGAGGGTTATTCCAGTCCCAGATGAGGCAGGCAGGGAGGGCTTTCCTTGTACTGTTCAGAATGATGCACAACTTAAAGTTATCAATTGTTTATTTTTGGAATATCCCACTTAATAAGTTTAGGTGTTTGACCATAGGCTGCTAGAACTTCATGATAGGGAACTACTACAGTTAGCACTTGATATATATTGCTCATTTAGTATAATTTTATCTCAACTCATCTTCATTACAGTCATAAACGTGGCATTATAATGTTCACTTTATTAAAACCTGATACAGTGCTTAAGAACAGAAGATTAATAAGTGAATACGTGCATTTCTTATCTTCCGGGAAAAAATAGCAAAGGTTATATTTCCTTCAATTACATTAGTCTAGAAATTCTCAAAGGACTGATTTAAAATGTAGATACTAATTTTTACTGAATGTGTAAATAAGTGTGCGGACTGCTCATTCTTTCAGAGACACACTCGAGTGACTATGAAAATGCAGTAATTGAATGTGTGGCTGTGTCTTGTTTTAATCAGAACTTCTTATGTGAATAGCGATATGATAATCCCATGGAGTCACAGATGCCTGTAACCAAACATGATAAAAACAGATACTGGCCAAAAACCAAAAGCATTGAAGACGTCAGTGCTTAATATAGTCAATAATACCCAAATTTAATGTCTACATATGATCTGTGTTTGTTTCCATGAATTTCCCTTAGTGAAGAAATCTATTCTATTACTTTCATTTTGTCCAGTTACTTGTTGAGGCTGTGATAGAAGACCTTGGCAAAAGCAGCTTAAAGAACTAAAGGTTTATTCAGGCTTCCAACCCATGTACAGTCCATCATGACAGGGAGGTCAAGGCAGCAGAAGCTTGAAGCAGCTGGCTAGGTTGTGATTGCAGTCAGGAAGAAGAAAACAACAAATGCCTGTATTGCTCAGTTCCTGTTCTCCATCTATTCAGTCCAGGATCCAAGTCCCCAGATAGTTCCCCTACACACAGCAGTAAGGATGTCCCACTTCCATTAATACAATCGAGATAATCCCCAGGAGCTATGCCCAGAGACTAACATATCCTAATCTAGAGAATCCTTCCCAGATGTGTCCAGACGCTTGTCTCCTAGGGGATTCTAGATCCTGTGAAGTGAACAATTCCTACTAACACCTTACCATTGGTATAGACTCAAATGAAATAACTACATGGTCTCTAAACTGCCTTTTGTATGCATGCTAAGTTCTCTTGACTTCGGAGACAATAATAAGCTAAGAAATCTGATGTTCTCACACTTAATGTGATTGTATTGTTTGGTTCTGTGTTTGAATGAAAAAAAATTATAGCACGGTCTTCAAAAGCATACCACACATATGTATTGAAAATAAATATCTTTATAAACTTAATAATTATGGTATACCAAATAAAAGCCTTTTACTAAGTAAAATCAAGTCAGGATACCAAGCTAGAGAGAATTAGCATCTAATGAAGCAATTCATGTCCTTTAGATGATCACATATTGGAAAACCTATAATAAAATAAAATGATCTTAAAGTACTGCAAACATAACTTGAATTCAAGCTCTACTACTTTCTAGCTAAATATACCATGGGTAATTACCCTCTCTGAGTCTCAATGAAGCCTGAATCAGAGTCAGTGTTACACCCCCAGTAGTGTGGATGCTGCCGGCAGCAGAGGAGCAAATCTTCCTGACAAAGACCACAGGAAGGCCTTAATTCACATAAATGCCAGCTCTGCTCCAATCATCTCATGGCCATTACCAGCTGTTTGATGAATGTGAACCTTTGTCGGAGCAAACCAGATGTGGAAGTGTGGACATGTGTCTCCCCTTCTGTGGAAATCATTAAGCTGTTTTTCAACTTCTCTGCCCTGCTTTTCAGAGATTCTCTAGAAACAAGTAGCAGATCAGAGAGTGAGGAAAATAACATTTGAGGATGAGCAGTCCAAATAATGTTAAACTGCTTTGAGGGATACAGTGCTTCATCTCTGAAAATCCCTTAAAAAAACAGTAAGAATTTTCTCCCAAATCCTCAACTTTTCAGTATTTCTGAAGCCAAAAGAACCCCCTATAGAGAAATTGGCTATTTCCCGGGAAATCCAGGAGCAAATATAATGCTCAAGCGAAGCTCAGATTTACCCATCACAGTCCTTATGTACTCATGTGCTAAATATTGTATAATTTTTCTTTGCAGCTGAACTCATTTTATTTTATATGTTGATGAATGAAATCATTTCCATGCATAGAAATCAAGGGGTTTAGAATCATGAGCTTCATTTAAAATATATCTCTAGCTGGACATGGTGAGACTTGCCCTTAATCCTAGCACTTGGGAGGCAGAGGCAGGAGGATCTCTGTAAGTTCCAGTCCAGACAGGACTACATAGTGAGTAGTGAGTTCCAGGCCAGCCAAGACTACAGTGAGACTCTGTCTCAAAAAAAATGGTAGTTTAATCATCTCCCCCAGAAGGATGCCAGTTATTATTTAGCAGGTTTTAAATGTTCATTTATCCTGTGTTGTCCACACTGATCCATCAATTTTTCCACCCTATCTCAGTTGTGATCCCACCTATATAAGGATTCTGGCAGAAAATACTAAGCATGTTTTGCAGAATTTGTGCACTAACCCATGGCAGTTAACAGTGCCAACACAATCCAATCTGTCCACCCACCACAAATCTCAGATAACAAACACTCAGGCGTCCGAGTCTCTGCCAGGAAGCTCTAAGTTGGAGAAGCGTTGCTTTTCTTGGCTGTGTTTTGTGGTCATCTTGCAAGAGACTGTTCCCTGTCATATCTGGAAATAAGTATTTAATAAATGTTAGTTTTGGAAAAATGAAGAATTATATCATAAATGCATTTCATTCCATGCTTCTACATAGCACTGGAAACTATCTCTATCCTTCAAGTAACATTTCAGAAACTCACCTAATATATTTCCCTTAAATACTCACTCAAAAAAAAAAAGAAACACAAAGTGGAAAATATGTTTTTTCATACTGTGGTGTGGGTGGGTGTCATGGTGATTTTATAATACATATCTATATTTTTGAATAAATTAAATTTTAGTGAAGCCAGGCTAACAGCTCCAATGGTCTCACCCACCAGGTTGGGGTAAAGATGTTATGCGGAGTTGTTAGGACTACTGTTTGAACATATAGTCTAGTGAAATATGTCACCTAATAGAAATGATTCTGAGACTCCTGTGACATCTCTAAGCAAAAATTTGCATTCAAATTTAATTATATTTTTACCATGGTAGAAATATTCCCTCTCTAAAGGAATCCTATGGAAAGCTCTTTGATAAAAGAAAATAATTATTACCTAGTCTACATTTTGGAAAATACAGTTTGCATTTAACTAGATTGCCTCATAAACAAGCATTCATTTATAATTAAAAAAATACTGTCTACCATGGTAATATACTCTTGTCCCCACTAGTACAAAAGGCTGAAGCAGGAGGATCTCTGGAAGTTTGAGACAAACTTGGTCAATATATCAAGACCTCATATCAAAAAAAAAGCTATTTTTGAGGTTTTAGAAATAGATGTCAAGTAGAATGGATATTTTTATAAACTTAAATTTTCCTTTATGCTAAAATATTTTTTGTAAATCTATGAATCATTGTGTATAATATTCATGATAATAATAACCATAAAAAATCCTAAATCAGCAAAGTAGTTCTATACTTTCCAGGAACAGATAAATAAATAAAGTCACCACGTCCTGGACATGAACACAGATGGTAAGGGAAAGAACAAAGACAATAAGATCTAAGATTGTGATTCTTATTTATTATACAATTTAAGGTATTTCTCTTGAGCATTCAACTAGTAGACTTTATTAATATTCTAAAAAAATGAGAATAAACCCAGTGGTGAATCTGTTCAATTCTTTTTCTATTTCAATCCAGACTTCTTTTCAATGCTCCCTGAAGCTTGTATCTGAATAAGTACTGATAATAAGTGTTAGACGTACTGAACAGAGAGGGTTGGACCTGCAACTCTATCAAAGATTAGTTACTGTCATGGAGGGCAGACAAGCTTACACTAGAGCTGTAGGGTACTGTACTGATGAAAAGACTCTGCCTATTTGAGCAATTATTCCCTAAAAAATAAAATAACTTACATTACTTATTACACTATTCCCAAGACTTGTCTTTCTTTATACAATATAGAGTTCCTCTGTTTAATATGCAGCATGGCTAAATAATATTGAGAATTAGTTTTGTCTTTTTCTCATCCCAGAAACCTTTTAGTTTGTTGATTTTCGATATTACTAGTTTGATTATTTTTTGATTTGTTGTGAATTCTTAATAATAAATTTGCTTCTCTACTTTATTTTTAGAATTTTCATCAAAAATCAGAGACTTCAGAAAAAGGTAATGAAAACATATATTCAAATATTTGAAAAAAAGAAACAAAAATGTCATAGAATACCAATTTTTTTCAATTTATCATCTAACTATTGTGGTAACACCCACACACACGGTAGAAAAAACTTTATTACTAAGACTCTTTTTCCTAACGGAAGTCAGAATTCTTCATGGGAATATAATTTCATATTTTAAAACTTTTATTGTGATTTTTAATAAAATATGAAATTTTGATACATAACAATGAAAGAACTATCTTTTAAAATCCTTTTAACCATCCCAAGACACTGTAAAAATTTTACTATCAATGTCTTGTGAGGTAAGAAAACACAGAATAGTTGCAGGTGTGGTCTCCAGCATCACTGTCACCTTTAAACTCAAGATATATTTGAATGATCTGCAGATACATCGTGTAGGAAGACTACATCCTGAAGCAGTGCTCACAGAGCACCTGGGTGTTGACACTGCAAACTAAAGGGAACATTCCTACTATAGCAAATACCAGATGAGTGGCTTTGCGGTTCAGAGCAGGGCCCACATTCAAATCAGGCAGATCAAGTTTTTAATCAAAACTCTGTCACTTCTTAGCACTGAGACCCAGGCTTAACCCTCTGCTCCTCAGTTGTCCTAATATGCATAAAAATAAGTTAGTGTTACATGTGCAGGCATGGTTGGGGCTCTTATGTTGGCACAAGATGATATTTGGCACAAGAACATGCCGACTCCTTCAAGGGACTTTCTGACTCACACACTCAGCTAATGACTTTGAAAGCAGAAGCGATTGTAGGACGCTCGTGAATTCTCCCACACTGTTACTCACGCCAGTAAAGAGCTGTGTACAGAATTACCCAGTTTGCCGTCCTGCTGTTGTGATGAGCACTTGGAGAGGAAAGGATTATTTGGCTTGCAGGTGACAGTCCATGACTGAAGGAAGCCAGAGCAGGGACAGAGACCATGGAAGAACGCTGCTTACTGACTTGCTTCCCTGACTTGCCCAGCTTCCTTTATTTTTTTACTGAACTTTTTAAATTTCAAACATTTCCCACTCACATCCAGACCCCCCCCTCCCCAATCCATGCCTCCCCCTCTCCCACCAAACCCTATGCATTCTGCCATACATGCTGAGTCCTATTCATTCAGGTATTTGTACCCAAATATCCTTCAGTGTAAATGTGTCCACTAAAGGAATCTCTACAACCAAGGGTCATGGAACATAGCAGAATAAGGGTAGAGAGAGGACTAAGGCAACCCTCAACTCTCAGCAGTGAGGCTTCCATGTACATCAGAGTGTGATGCACACAGAAGGCCACAACTGGCCAAGATTTGGAGAGTAAGTGATTGTAGAGTGTAGGATGGGATTCCTATATGGAACCTCACCTACCCATGGCTCATGGACCATTGAGGAAGAGGAGGCAGAAAGACTGTAAGAACCAGGACTGGTTAGTGAACACAGGGAGGTGGAGGCCTCCAGGCCATTGGAGGCTTGCTCATACCAGCTACCTTTCTTACACAACCCAGACCCACCTTCTTAGGGATGGCACTATGCGCAGCAGCTTGCACACACACACACACACACACACACGCACACACACACACACACACACACACACACACACACACACACCAATTAGCAATCAATAAAATGCTTCACAGACATGGCCACAGGCCACTATAATCTGGGAACATCTTTAGCTGAGGTTCCCTCTTCCCAGGTGACTCTGGTTGTGTAAAGTTGACAACTGAAGCTAAATATAAGAAGAGTGTCCTCTCAATTCTAATTTCCAGTACTTGAAAAAAGGTCTTCAGTTGTGCCTGAGGAACCCTCCACGTGCCATCACAGAAGATAATGGACTGGCAGAGGGCAGGGAAGAAAATACCTAAACTATTGTAAAAATACTGTTATGGATGGTCATTAAGACCCTCGAACACTGGGGCTAGAGAGATAGCTCAGCAGTTAAGAGCACTGGCTGCTCTTGAAGAGGACCCTTTTGAGTCCCAGCACCTACATGGCAGCTAACAATCATCCATAACTCCAATTCCAGGAGATCCGACACCCTCTTCTGACCTCCACGGGCACTGCATGACACTGGTGCACATACATACATGCAGGTAATACACTCATACACATAAAATAAAGATAAGTAAATTTTTAAAAGACCCTGGAATACCATAAAGGGACGGAGGAGATGCACATTTTCTCACACTATTCCCAGAACAGTGATTCTCTATGTGGTATGCACTAACCAGAGCTACGCTGACATGACACTCCACCCCTTTCTATTAGGAATATTGGAATAAGGTGTCCTTCACCCCTATTCCTCAGGGGGCTGGAAAATGAGATTCCACAAAAATAAAGACAAATGCCCCCAAGATTGATATTCAATAATAAATGATGACATATTTTAATTAATATATATTATTTGTAAATATTTCATTCTTTCACAATATTGTAATATCTTTGCCCAGAGTAAAACTCAAGTATAATAAATATGATTTCACCCCCAAGCCCAGAACTAAGCTCTTAAAATATTTGAATGATGTTATTATGTGCATGTGTATATGTGTGTAGTGTATGTTTGTGTGTGTGTGTGTGTGTGTGTACACGTGCACGCATGCGCAGGTGCAGGCACGTGTGTGGGGGTATGCTGAGGGGGCAGAGGTCAGCATCAGGTGCCTTCCTCAGACACTTACTACTTTATTTTTGGAGACATACTCTCTCACTCTTCTTGTCAAGTTTCCTGTTGCTGTGATAAACATCATAACCAAAACCAACTTGGTTCACAGCTCATAGGGAAGCCAGGAACTCAAGACAGGAACCCAGAGGCAGGAACTGAAGTGGGAAAGATGGAGGAACACTGCTCTCTGGCTTGCTTCCCCTGGCTTGCTCAGCTATCTTTCTCCTAGAGCCCAGACACACAACCCAGGGATGGCACAGCCCACTATGGGCTGGTCCCCCCTACATCAATTAGCACTTTAAAAAATGCCTCATGGACATGCCCAGGTCAATCTGATCTGAGAACTTCTTCAGTTGAGCTTCTGTCTCTGTAAGTGACTAGGTGTCTGTCAAGTTGACAACTGAACCTACATACGACCTCCATAAAACAGTGAGTGAAGCTGGATCCCACTGATCTGACTAAGCTGGCTGGTTAGCAAGATCCAGAGACTGACCTGTTGCTACTCCCCAGTGCTTGGATTACAGATGTGTACCATTGTGGCCAACCATTTATATCAGTATTGGGGATTTGACCTCAGGTCCTCACACTTGCACAGCAGGCACTTTACAGACTCAGCCACCTCCCCAACCACTGATGCTGTGTTTGAAATGCATTCTTCGTCCAGAGTTCTGGAACTACAACTTAATGTATCCGGACATGTTTCTAAACAGCCTGACACAAGCAAGTGCTAACCGAGAACTGTCTTTCTGCTCAGAAAGTAGAGAAGAATTTGATAATTATCCAAATAATTAAGGTTCCCAAAAACATGAACTGGAGGTCAAATTTATAACATGAGATACGTATTCATGGGAACTACTGTACTAGGTTTGGAATTACTAACAAGAAGTTTGTGTTTTGCTGCAAAGATCCAACAGCACAGTTTGAGACTAGGAAACAAGCTGTTTCCAGAAATCTCCAGTGCTCTGGCACCTGCGTTTCGGGAAGATCCCTCTTGGGTGGCCTCCAGGGTTTGTTTAGGGCTCTTTTAAGACTATTTTTAGGCTGCCTGTCCTTCCGCTTCATTAATTGTTGCTGCTGATTTCTCAGAGAAATTTAATTAGAGCTTTTTCAATTTTTCATCCTCCCCCAGGCTGTTGCAACAAAGGGCACCATTTAAGAAATGAGTCAAATAAGTAAAATTTGTCTATCATAAATCTCACACGCATTTCTGAATAGCTAAGTGAATAATAGCAGGTGCTGAGAACAACGAAGCATCCCTCACTTGGGCAGAGCTTCTGGGGGCCAGGAACGGGAGGGAGCACCCTCCTGAAGCTAGCTTCCTTCCGGAGGAACATCCATTTTCCCTTCAAAACAACCGGAAGCCAAAAGGCAACTTGCTTCAGAAGTAGCTTCAGAGGGAGCTGCTGTGTTGTAGTAAACAACTGTACCAAGTGACATGATGCAGAGTGTGCTGGAATTTTATCACATCACACTTAAAGAAGACAATTTCTGATGATGTGCTGATGTGTCCCCTCAACAATTCCAAGGATACTAAAGGAAAATTATTAGCCTCTCTAGTAGTCATTTTTCTTCCTTCATGACTGTCCTCATTTTATTTCTGTTGCTGTGATAAAATATCCTGACAGAAAGCAACTTAGGGAAGAAAGGGTTTGGTTAGCTTACAAGTCCAGGCGACAGTCCATTACTAGAGGAAGTCAAGGTAAGAACTTAAAACGTCACATCCACAGCAAGAGCAGAGAGAGAATAAATGGCCCCTTGCTTGCTTTCCCTTGTATTACATACTTCCAGAACTCCTGCCTAGGGCATGGTGCTGCCACAGTGGGCTGGATTTTCCTACATCAGTTAATAATTAAGGCAGCCCCTTAGACATGCCCACAGGCCAATCCAATGGACGCAGTCCTCCACTGAGACCCAGTTGATTCTAGGTTGTGTCATGTTGACAAAACTAACCAGCACAATGACAATTCCCTTTTGATGAATTCACAATATATGCGATAAGTGTTCAGCTGATGGCAAACAAATGCTTTAGATAGGATATATTTGAAATATTTATAAGCTAGGTAGAAAACATTACTCCTTGTCTGAAAATTAACTCTACAATATCATGAATGGATTAGAAGAAAACGCTTGTAAATTTCAGTTGATCAGAATACCAAGTTAATAAGAAAAACCTCCAACTTGTGACTAAAAGGCCTGTTTTCAAAATTTTTGCTGCTGAAAATATGGAAGTGTATGAACGTCCAACAGTTAAGATCTACCAACAGTTAAGACAGGCTGCATGTAGAGGTGCAGATGGCTAATTGACTGCAGTTTGGTAATGGGTCATTTTAATTAAGTTGTATTTGAATTAATTATAAGAAATTTCAAAACTATAATTGACAGTTTATAAGAAATATGACCCTCCAGGGACATCTTAATCTCTACCTTCTTCTACCCTAGGCTTTGTAGAAAAAGTGATAACTGAACTTTCGAAGTCGTTGTACCAGCTGGTTGATGTCTACTGGGGCAGCTTTTGTACAGATTTCCAGCCTGTGTGTTCACCTAGAGGCACGTCCTCTGTCCACAGCGGGCTCCATTCCCACCTGAGCTTCACAGTGTGTGCCCTGCACAGTGTTCCAGAGAACTGGGCACACAGGTAAGTGACGGAATATTTCCAACCAAAGCGTTACAGTAATTTTAACAAAACTTCCAATTTGAGTAAGATTAACCTTGTCCTCACTTGAAGGAATAAATGTTTCATAACATTTTGGAAATAAACTGTCATAGATTTGTCTTTAGTCTTAAAAAATAATCACTTTATAAAAGTTCATATTCCTCATAGTGTACAGTGTCCCTCCTTTTCCAGCATCCATATTAAAGTAATAGCTGTAGTCAATGTCTCATTATGAAATAGACAGGCTCATCCCATCTAGTGGCTTCCCTAAAAACTTCCTTTTCATGAGTTACTTTAAATAGTAACAAAAGGAGATATGAACAGATGGATGCATGGATGGATGAATAGATAGAAGGATGGGTGGGTGGATAGACTGATTGGTAATAAATGATGGAGACGACAGAAAAATGAAGTGCATACCTGGATACAGAGCATTTAGATATAAAAATGACAAACACTATGACCACCATCAAGTCGTAGGTGGTAGATGTATTATATGATTAGCACCTTAACAGAGTAAGAACTAGCAAAGAATTCACAATTACACATGGTAAACTCTTGGATATTGGGTTGTCTCTATTCTGTAGTATTTTCTAGAATAACATGCTTAGAGTAATATTATATCTTATGCATTTTTTATCAACTACATGTAGAAGAGGACAGTGATTAAAATAACTAAAAGTAATTAAACTATTTTTGGGTCTTTTTGAGACAGGGTCTCCCTGTAGCCCCAGCTGTTCTGGAACTCACTATGTAGACCAGACTGGCCTTGAACTCACAAAGATCTGCCTGCCTCTGCTTCACGAGTGCTGGGATTAAAGGCGTGAGCCACCACCCAAGCCAGGCAATTGAACTATTTTTTATGGAATATACTGTACATACAGCATTGGGCATCCAAAAGAAAAGCTGAACCAAATAATAGTGAAAATAATTTTAGTTCAATGTATATGTTTGTAAATAAACTATATAAATATTTATAGAATCAATATAAAAATAAATTCTATCTATGTGTATATAAAGGTTTCTACATACCTCTTTTGAAAAAGGTGAATGATTCATATTATCTGAAGGGAAACCAGATTAAAACTTTCCTTCAGAAGCTACAAAATGATACTATCATGTGATTTTTCATAATTTTATAATGAATTTTAAAGGATAATGTATATATAATATGCTACCCTAATGAAAGTTTTGTTATAATTTTCTATCAATATGTATGCATCTTAATTTGAATTTGCATGGAAATTTTCCATAGCTACATAAATACAGATAACGCTATGTATAGAAAATACCTATGTATCTATATGTGTCTATATTGGTACATAAATATATATGTAATATATGCTATATACTACTTGAAAATGCATAGATGCATACAAGTGTAAAGCACACTTTAGTTCTGAGCATAGTGTGTACTTGTATGACTATAATCTATTCAACGCCCCCCATGTTTTCTCTACATAGTACCAGTATAAATACTTTCAGCATAGTTTAGCATTTATTAACATTGCTTCACAGAGGTAGATAAGTCTGCGTGTGCATATAATTATAGACATAAAAAGATGCTTTCTACACAATACCCCGGTAATGAATAAATAAGAACTTTGACTAATGAAATGAAATTATAACTGTCCTTGACTAGAGGAATGAATTATAAAGCTGAGCTGGAGACTCTCCAGAAAGACACAGTCATTCTTCTCAGAAGTCCAAGGGTGCTGGAGAGATTGCTCGGTGGTTAAGACCATTGGCTGCTCTTGCAGAGGACCCAGGTTCAGCACCCAGTACCCACATGGTGGCTAACAACTACCTATAACTCCAGTTCCAGGGATCTGCCTGTCTCTTCTGACATCCATGGGCTTTGCATGACACAGGTGCATGCACATACATGCACACAAAACACTCAGACACATAAAAATAAATAAAATTTTAAAATAAAAGAAATCCAAGGCCAGCCAACATTTTGATAAAATGGAAACAAATTTTTATGTCTAAGTTTCACTGAGGACTTAGGGCTTCACTGGTACATGCAAAATTTCTCCAAAATTTAACAGCTTACCACAACAGACTAACTAGCTCATATTCTGAGCATCAGAAACATAGGCAGCAGCTTATCTGGATAGGGCTGGATAGATATGATTTGGTATTTCTCGTGAGATGTAGAAAAACTGATGTCTCTGCAGAGCAGAAGAATCTGTGTCCAAGATCAGTCACATAACTCTGGGTATCCCTCAGTTCCTGTTGGAATATAGGCTCTAGAGCCTCAATTCCTTACCACAAAGTTGTCTCCGAGTATGCTGAAGATTCAGCAGTTGGTGCCCCTCAGAAATTCCCCAGTATAAAAAGAGAACTCATGAGCAAGGAAACACCAGAGCCAGATTAGGCTTTGGAGGCCTAATCCTGCAAGGAGTGTATTACTTCATTATACCAAGGGAAAGATTGATGCAAAGATTTGAATATCAGGAGTCAGAAGCCTTGGAGGCCCCGTTAAGAACAAATCACCACATGTAGAAATAGAGGAGAAACTAAGCCAGACACCCCCAGAAGCATACCTACTGACAAACTGAAGAAAGAAAAGGGTGACTTTGATGTAGCTTTGACCATAAAGATGAGATTTTATGACAGTGTTTGAAACTATGTAACTGAAATCAGGAATAATTGATGGGTTTGAGACTGAATTGTGATCTACTTCGTGACTCTGCCTTCTGTGAGGGCCCCACCCAGCTATCAAAAACAACTTAGATTGTGTCATTCTTGGGATAAGTTGATTAAAATAATCCTCTCCATAGTCCATTAGATTGATTAAGAATTCATTCATAGCCAGGTGTGGTGGCTCATGCCTTTAATCCCAGCACTCAGGAGGCAGAGGCAGGTGGATCTCTGTGAGTTTGAGGCCAGCCTGGCCTACATAGCAAGTTTCAGGCCAGCTGGGACTACAAGGAGAAAAATAATCCATTCATATTCAACCTAAAATATCATAATACAGAAAAGTTCTCTTTCTACATCCTGAAAATGCCTTTCTCACAATGATAAATTTATCTGCTTATGCATAGATTGTATAAATCTTAATATTTGTACATTATTAATTCTCCACCAAATTATCTTTTATAATGTCCATGTGATTATATAATATTTTAATTGCTATTATCCAGAACCTTTCCTATTATCTAATAAATGCTCAATAAAGGTTTATTGAAAGTGTCTGCATAAACTCTCTTGAATAGAAGACTAAGTCAGACCTGGTTTGTGAGATTGTTATGTGGGTCTGGAGAGTGAGCTGGTAACTTTGAAGGAGGGATGATCGTACAGGAAGGGAAACCAAGTGATGGTCTAGAAGGAAAGGATGTATTATAAAACAGGTGTAAACTTAGTCCTTCAGGATCAGGGATACATCACCAGTGAAAGAGAATCTAAAACAATTAGTGTTGGTAGAAGAGTGGTTGATCAGAAAGTTTTATAAAATATTACTACTAATAATAATTGTATGACAATGTTATATTAAGAAGTCCATAAAATGATTTTAAAAGCCCTTCAATTGTTTGTAGAATACAATACCAAGTTACAACAAATAGGATGTGTAATTATGCATAATGTGAATAACAATGTATATTATGAAAATTTATATATTTGCAAAAATATTTTACCATTTTAAATTATGAAGACTTCAAACACATTAGCAAGCTGAAATTGTTATAATGTATGTATGTGAGTGCGACCCTGTTGTGCAGTGCCCAAGGAGATCAGAAGAGGGCATCGGACTCCCTGGAACTGGAGTTATAGATGGCTGTTAGCCACCATGTGGGTGATGGGATTCAAACCCAAGTCCTCTGTAAGAGCAGCCAAGTGCTCTTAAAAACTGAGCCATCTCTCCAGCCCTAAGATAACATCTTTATGATGAACCTACAAATGGTTCATTAAAGACTCCGTCACAAAGCCTTTGCTGCCAAAAGGCATGTGTGTAGACTGTCTTTCATGCATTTCACTGAAGTCTCTTTGTAAGCTTGATTCCTCATATCATGATACCAAGTGGTAGAAATACCATGTTTACACATAGAAAATATTGTCATATACTAACGTGATGGATTCTGAGTCAAAAAGCATTGATAAATTATTAAATATAAATTCACTACAAAATAACAAAATGATCAGTTGACCAAAGAAATATAACAAATGTACAAAAGTTGACAGAAACATAAGGAGCACATAATGGTGCTGATGTAATGTTAGGTGGTATCAATATACCTCCCTCAGGAATTGATAAATCAGTGAGTCCAACTGGAAAGAATATAAAATAACATGCCAGCACAACTAACAAACTTGAATTAATGAACTGTAACCAGCAGGACACACTTTGGAAATATAAACACTCCTCAAGGACATCTGGAACCTTTGTGTCATATGACCAAAAGCCCAACTGAAGAAACAAGCCTGAAGAAATCTGAGATAAACTTCAGAATTTAGCCCTCTCATCCACTCTCTACAATCTGAATAAGTTAGAAACCCGTAACGATATGTGTGTGTGTGCATTTGTAAATTGAATATGTACTTTCAAAAGTTCAGGAATCAAGGAGTTCTTCTTCCCTGAAGAATCAGAATGTTGGGAGTTTTTCCATTAGTTGGGAGGAGAGGCAAAGACAAATGAGTTTGAGCCATTTCAAAACATTGTCTTTCAGACTGAAAGATGAATTATGCTAAACCAATATGAATTCTCCTCAAGCTACCCTATACAAAGGAAAGGAACTCTTCCAAAATCATTTTACAAAGCCAGAACGACCCTAACACTTAGCTGGAGCAGACAGCAGGAAATTATAAACTAGGGCAAAAATTAATGAAGTAGAAACTAAAAGAATACTTCATAGAATTAATCAAATTAACAGTTGGTTCTTTGAAAATATTAACAATATTGACAAACCCCTAGCTAAACTAAAAGGAAAAGACGACCCAAATTAATAAAATTGGAGATGAAATGGGAGTTGTTCCAAGAG